GTGGGGGAGGGACATACAAAGCAACAAAGAAATCATCTTATAAATATGTTAGAAACAATGAAAGGAAAAAACAGTCCTTGAGACTCTTATCTCCAATTAATCACTAAAATAAGCTGGACATGGATGTGTGGCTTGTGGCAGAGTGCTAGACTTGAGCAAAAGAACTCATGGTCAGACCCTGAAATAAAGCCCAGGCTGGGAAGTGAAGCTGGAGAAGAAAGGCTGACTCCTCTTTCACACCCTAGACCTCAGATGAGTACTACACACTGCCACATTCAGATTTGAGAAGATCTCCTCAAAACCACATTTAGCTCCTATTTTGTCATCCCTTTTCATGTCTGCCTCTAAGTCACCAACACATCTACTTGATTCATAGAAGGAAAAAAAGAGCTCGATTTCTTTGTCCATTTTGTGAAGTAATATCCTGGAAATTACAAACACATTTATTCAGTTTTCAATGCTCAAATATGATCCAATGGGCAGACTGAAATGCAAGAGAGTTTTGAAAGATAAACACTGAACTGAAAGCCTCTTATGCAGCCACAAGAGATAGAGAAAGATGTTATCCTAAAACAGTAAGGAAAAACTTGATTTCAAAGGGAATACGAGTCTCCTGATGTTGCTACACATTGTAGTCTTTGGAGAAAGTGTAACAGGCTAAGTGTGGTCATTCCAACCAGCTGCCATGTCTGCAAAAACAGCACCAGAGGCCATAATCAGAGAACCTGATTATGCTTTGCCCCCTTTCAAAGCCCTTTACCAACAGGCTTCTAAATTTACAAAGTGAATGCAAAGTGAAAATGCAGAGTCTCTTGTTAAAAAAATCATTAAGAATTTTAACATGGCAGCAAAAGGGCCTTTAACATCTTACAGAAACACGCTAAACCAAAACCATGGGAGTGAAATTTGTTATCCAGGAAAAAATATACAGTACCTGGCAAAGAAACAGTTATTAATCCTTAACAGGTTTCTAGTGCAGATGCACACTATTCAATTATTCAGCATTTTTAAATGAGTTATAAAATCTGCATGTTAAAAAAAA